CGAGCAAGTCTGGCTCGGTGTTTCAGCTCCGCCCTTTTCCACTTCACCACCATGTAGCAGAGGTTGAAAAGTGTGTTTATCTGCAAGAAGAGATCATCAAACACTGGCAATGGACTAACAAAAGGAAAGAAGGTGATTGAAAGGTGAGAAAGAAATGGCTAACCAGGATTAGACAGGCAATGACCAGAAGAGGCCCTGACCAGACTGCTGAAAGAAATATACCGTGCGGATCAAAGTAGTTCTGGGTTGCAAAGCTTCTCCAGTTGTTTCCAAGTATTCTGTTCAAGATCTCGGCTAAACGTACCCCAGCCACTACAATACATACACACCATCCCACTTCAGTCTCACATCTATCAATTATCATCTATCAGAAGAACTTAATGAAACAACTAACAAGCATCACAGACCAAATCTCATATCTTAGATTACATATATGAAATTGAAGCACGGGAGATATTCCATGACCATATTAGCCACAGCCATTTTACAGCATTTACTTGCTTTAGCAAATCAGGGGAAGAAAAAGTGTTGAACTTTAGTGATCCCTAATCTTAGTTGCATCTCAGTGATCTTCTCACAACATTGTCTTCCGAGCGGCATAAGTGAAACTTTGCAGTGAATCAAAACCTAGTTTCCCTATATCAACCACTGTTTTGTATATTTTGTTCCCTAGCAGTCATTTCAGAAAGGGGCCACACGAACAAGTCACAAGTACAGAAATGAAACAAAAGCTGCGTCTTTTACATGCCAGGAGACCAACTTACCAACATGATACAAACACCTAAATCCCAAGAAATTCAATTCAAACCATAATCTACTCCCGAAGAGATGGAAAATGGAGGAGGAAAAGAGAACTCACAGGTGAGAAAGAACAACCCCATCTGGAAATTAGTGTTCTTCCTCGAGAATACAGCTACAATAAGTAGCAATACATGGAATCCCATCATCCCCATCAACCAAGGCTCCTGCAACAACAATTGAAACAAAGAAATTCACACAACGACGAAAACCATAAAGCTTCGGAAAAAGAGCATAGCTTCAGAGATAGGGATGAAGAGAGTACCGTCCAGTCAATGGCGTGAAAGAAACCCATGAAATTCTCGTAAGCCGGCTGGAGCCCGGATCGTAGCTCGGAAGAGAGCTTCTGAACCAGATCCGCCATTTGGTCCAAGTGTTGGTCCATGGCCGATTTCAGAGCTTCCATTTTTTGCTTGCCGCCAGTAATTCCCCGCTGAACTGAATTGAAGAAGGAACTCGAGATCGTTACCCACACCTAACTAACTCTCGGAGGACCGGCTTGAGATCTAGCAATGCAGAGACTTGGCAGAGAGGAATTCGCGATTTGCTTCTTCACTTTCTCGTTTGAATCGACGGCGGAAGCGATGTCGAAGTTCGACAGAATTCGAGCAGTTCTTTTCCTGGAATAGGCCGAGCTTCGATTGTAGGCTCTTGTCTTATTAGGCCGGAACTGAGGCCCAAATCTTCCCTTGGGCCTGGCTACGAATGATCCAAACCCAGGCCCACTTCTGAAGTTGGTTCCATTAAAGTGACCCAAAGATCTATTCAATGGGCTTATAGGCTAGAGGTGAACAAGGAACATGGGCAAACAAAGACAAACCTAGCCAAGAGGATCATGATCTTAACCTTTTTGGTACAACCTAAGAATTAATTACTATCTAATGGTGAGTGAAAGCCTATGATCTTAATCTTTTGGGTGCAGCCTATGACCTTTTTTCAGTACCAAAAATCATTAATTCATCCACTTCCCCACATAGTGATTGATCTATAACACTAAATAACAGGCACTATTATTACCAGTATAGTTGCACTGCCCACATGCAAGGGGAAAATAATAATAATAATAATAAATAATAATAATAATAATAATAGAGATGTATAGACAAATGGTATAGATATCAGCTAGCAATGGTCACAATCCAACTGTTCCATTACCTAGCTAGGTTTTGGGATCCAATTTGCATAGTCTCAAATATTAATATTACTAGGGTGTCAGGGGAAGAAAACACAACCATTACTTATTTCTAAGATTGTAACCAAGGGGGTAGAATAATGGTGTAGTTCATTCCTTTTACATCCTTAGAAATGAATGCGTATAGATTTTTTCGCGTCGTCAACAAAAAAATTTATAACGGATCGGAATAGAAAAAGCAACTAAAATTTGAGGAAATTCGAGAAAATAACAAGAAAACTAGAGTGATTTGATAAAAGAATGAGAAGGGCATAACTTGGAATAGAGAACATATAACTGTACATGAAGGACATATAATCTCCTTACATGATTCGGTCGACTTTTCTGATCGAGTTACGATATGCTTTTTTTTTAGTTAATTGAAGGCAACCAAACCAAACAAAAAGGCAAGCAAATTGCACCACTCGATCGATCCCCATTCCTTTCTTCCTTTCTCCCCCCTCCATGTTTTCACAGAATATTCACTGCCAAAGTGCTGTATAATATATGAGCTAGCTAGCATATATATAGTACCACAGCTAGCAGACCAAACAAATCGTTTCTCTTTTGTAGAAAGGCAAGAATCCTTACTCACGTTCATTGTTCCCCCAACCTCTCTCTTTTGCTAAATGATCACTCAATCTTTCTAATTAATCTGTTTTACTCACTTCCATATATTTGATTATTTTCATAACCCACTTTCAGAATTAGTCTTTTTTTCACTAATTGAGGTTAACTCAGAGGAAAGCGCATATTTATCAGTTAAGTAGTCACACGTACATGAAGCAAGTCATGCAAATACAAAATTTAAATGATTCCTGAATAGAACCATTTACATGCTATGTTAGCGCGTCATATGATGTGACAAAATCACATCGAAAAGGGTTGATATTTAAGCAGTGCAACTTGGATGAATTGGTTTGGAACTGGATAGATGTGTCTTGAACTAAATTAAGATAGTTTATCATGGCCAAGTCCAAAGAAGATAAGTCACATGGATGCGGGAAAATAATACCCATTTATAAATTCTAAGCTTCCTTTTCTATCTTATACTTTAAGCAAACTTCTAATTGTCAAATTCAATTTCGCCATATAAGTAGCTTTTTGGATACATTTATCATCGTAATCATCAACCTTGAAGACCTTGAATAATATGTATGGTCTTCCTTGCGGCGGGTCTTATACTCTTGGATCTCAAGATAACCCTTTTTCTCCAAAGTGTGCTAGCTTAATGTCAAATCTTTTCTAGAAGGGATACAAGAGTCCAATCTACAATATATGCATGTGTATTTGAAAAACACAAACCCTAATCTCAAAACCATCAAAACAATCACAAAATCTTCTCAAATATACGAGCAAATATGATGAAGGAGCATCTGATCAAATTCCTCTACGAAAAGCGCTCTTTTGTCGTCTACAAATTCACCGAACCAAACGATATTTTTACGCGAGATAAAGCCTAATTCGAGTAGTGGTTCACAACCGAACTTTTGGGGGAGGGATTAGCTCAGCAATTAAACCACACCCAAGGTACAACAAACACATCAAATGGGGCTATGATCAGCAATGAATGGCTGCAAAAAAGCAACACGAATCATGGCATGTTTAAAGAAGAAACTGATGAAACTATGGGGGGTACGTATGTGAATAAATGAGTTTCCCCTCTAGGCTTGTGGGAGAGACGACATTGCAATATGGGCGAGGATAAGGACCTAACCCTAACAATTAACAAACGTCACGATGCATGATGATAGTATAAAGCTATAAAGCCATCCAAATTTAATGCCCCCCATTTTTTCATATATTGATGAGCACTTGTACCATAACCCTACGCCAAAGATCTCCTCCCCCCTCTCTCTCTCTGCTAAGTGCTAACCCATATGCCTGGCTGCATATATATTGATAAACCCTACTAACCTCTTTCAATGAATCGAGAATGCGTATTAAATCGAAATCAAATGAGTAATAAATTATTGCTTTGAAGTGTACGTCCACCGAGTTGTACATAACGAAAGTCGAAATAGCAAAAACAATGAGCTATAGTTAGCCGTGACAAGTTCAAGATCTTCACGAAGAGGGTTATATGATATACCGCAATACGGTATAGTTTCATAATAAAGAGAATCATTCATTACCTAAAACGGTGTAGAATGGTCATCATATACTATAAACTTCGAAAGTTTGAGTTGGAGAAAAAACCGCACATGTGTCAAGCAGCTCTCATTGTCCTCGGAACCTTAGTGATCATCCACTGATATATGAGAACTTTTTTAAGTACCCATTTCTGTAATAGCTAGCCTAAAGTGAACACTAAGTAGGAAACTCTTAATTAATTACTGACATGAATGAAAAAAGGGTTGGTTGGTTAAGTGGGAAAAGACTAGTTGGAAAAAAAACAACGGTCCACGCACCAGTACCCAATATCAACAGTGTGACCAATGTCAACATAAATGGCTCTCTCTCAGCCTCAAGCTCTGGTTCAAATCCTAACAAAGTAGTAATTAAGTGAAACTCGTACACCATTTCAAGAGCCTTTAAAGGCTCCATCATTGATATTTTTATAGTGAAAAACAAAAACAAAAAAGTTTCTAACTTAGCACAGCCTCAAGTTGGCAAGTTCACAAACCCATCTTTGAAAAATTCAAACCAAGGGGAATTGATTTGACAACATCATGAAGTTTAGTTTTCATGATGATAGCGAAACAACAGCTGACTCAACAAAGATGGGGTAAAACCCTAACCCTAGCTAGGGAATTAGTTGCTAATTAACCCTGATAACGTGCTGTAATTAATAACAAACATGACCAATGCACCTTTCTTCTGTACTCCCCTTCTTCAGAATTCAACACAGGCAGGAATCAATAAGGAGAGAAAGTTAATTAAAGAACAAGAAGAAAGGTAGATGCATACAGGAGAAGGAGAGATCGATCGAGCAAATCGGATTACAATTAGCATATAGCTTAAGAAGGCTAGCAGAAGGTAAATGATACATAACATCAGTACTTAAATCCCAAGTAATAACCTGATCATGATTATATAGTAAATATCCATATGGAGTCTAGGATACAAAAAAAAAAAAAAAAAGACGAACCCAGAAAGAAAAGAAAGAAGGAATTAACTATTAAGGTATAAATATGTAGAACTATAGCTAGTTTCCCCCTTGATCCGCCATTAATCATCATCACCATCAGATCAGTAATTAAAAAAAAGGGCTCAGTATAATTAAGCATAAAGTCATCACCGCTTAATCATCCAATGATGAGGGGTCCCCGTATCTACACGTACGACCATGATTCAAATATGGTCAAAAAGAAAACCAAGTCAAATGAGAGAGAGAAGAATGGCATTAACCTCATTGTCCATCATCAAGTTAGCTGTTTTAGAGGGAAGGTGGATATTACATCGCTACCCTCCTCCTCCTCCTCTTCCTCTCAGAATCTCTGCTCCTCCTCCTCCTCCTTCGGCTCTACAACCTTCCCCATCATCTGACACGTCACCATGTCCTGCAGCAGCCCATTATCTCTCAGGAAAGACGCCGCCGAAGTAGCACTCGTGGTGGTGGTGGTGGTAATGTTGAGAGACGGCGCGGAGTTGTACATGTACGCATTCTGAAGCTGCTGTTGTTGCTGTTGGTGGTGGTGCTGTTGGTTGTAGTGATGATGCAGCGGCAGAACAGACTGATGATGATCGCGAAAAGCAGGATCGGCGAACAAATGCCCGATCCCTCCACCGCTGAGGAGGCTTCCCCCCGATCTGGGAGTGATCGGGGAAGGATGAGTGTGCTGGCCCTCGTAGGTCGTCACGACGATGGAAGTGTCATCGGACGACCTCTCCACCCGCTTCTTCACCCCGCACCCCGCGCTCGTGCAGCGGTAGTAGCTCCTGATCAAGAATCAGTTAAAAAGAAGGGATGACATGAAATGATGAGTGAGTAGAAAAGAGTATTTATTTATTGCAGAATTTGTATATGGAGGTCGGGAAAGTGCGTGCGTATGTGATATGATGCTTGCGCAACAAGTAATGGCGCAGGCAAAAGATCCATCATCATTACCACAACAGAGAAATATACATAATCATGCTACTTTTTACATGTAATCAATTAAGTAGATGGAGTTATGAGGAAGAGTAGGGATTATATTGATTGAAGTAGTGACATAGATGTAATTTACCTAGGGTAAGGGCTGTTCTTGACGGCTTTCTGGCCGTATTTCCTCCACCGGTAACCGTCGTCCAAGTGATCCACTTCGCTCTTCGTCATGAACGCGAATCTCGGCTCTCTTTGCCTTTTCTGGCCCTTCGTCTTCTTTGCCTTCAACCTAGTTAGAATAGAAGATTAATAATTCTTTCGTTACGGGGAGAAATCTTCAATTTCAAACAGAATAAATTTGGTTTGGTTCCCTATTTTAGTAATAGAAAAAGGAGGGTTTGACGAGTAAATAGTACGACTTACTGTTTCTTTGAGCTGTTGTTGGTGTTTTTCTCTTCATCCTGCTCCTCTTCTTCTTCACCACCATCTTCGCCTTCCTCTTTGAGGCGATTTTTCCCGTCTTTACTGCTCTTCTTACTGTTCCCTCCTTCGTTCGACGAGGAAGAAATCGAGGAGTTCGGTGTCGTCGGGTTGTTCACGACCTCCGACGACTCACCCGCAGCCGGCGAAGACATCGGCAGATCCAGCTGCACCGTGGCAGCCGGGAACGGAGTCTGAAACAGATCGAACAAAGAGGAAGGAGCAGAGTATCCTCCGAAATCCGCGGCGCATCCACTGCTGGCGTCGAGCAGCTCCATGAATCCACCACCGAACCCGCTCTGAAGCGGCGGCGGCGGCGGCGGCAACATCATTTGCTGCATATCGTAGTAGATCCCTCCTCCGCCAGCTGTCCCCGAAAACGAGAATCCGCTCCCGTGCATCAAAATCTCCTCCAGCTCCCCTCCGCCGCCGCTTCCTCCCGCCATAGTAAATGCTGAATTCGCCTGCCTCTCGCCGCCGCTCCTCCTCGCCATATAGATCGCCGGCCAGAAACGAAACTCTAGCTAGCTAGCTAGATTCTTTTTTGCTGTTCTTTCAAATTACTGATCTCACCGGCAGGATCGAGGAGAGCATATTAGTACGAAAATCGAATCGCCGGTGAGATGGATGGATGGAGTGATAGAGAAGAGAAAAGAAGAGGGAGAGAGGAAGGAGAGTGTGAAAAGGGGAGGAGATAGAGTTTGGACAACAGCTTGGAATGCGGAGGTTTCCCATTTTGTTTTATGGACGGAGAAGGTGGGCCAAATTACTCTAATGGTCCGTGAAATTCCGGCTTATTCATACACGGGTTGTTTTACGGTTGGTGTTTAGCAAAATCATCTTCAAAGTTAGGGTAACTAGCATAACAGTCACTCATACAATTTTCGTCTTAAGTTTTTTTTTCTTTTTTCATAACTCTTAATTGGCCGAATCGGCATGCCAAATTGCCAGCTCAAACAAACTTAACGATATAAGTAAGCAAGTACATCGCCACTAATTGTTAGCACGTATATACTGACATATGATCCAATTACATCACTTGATTTAATATGAACTCACATTATTGGAACCCGTCCTAATTATTTTCTTCCCCCTTCTGCCCCTCGTATTGCAACACCTAATTCCAAAGTCCATATTGATACGTTTCATCAATAATCTGGGCTATTTGACGTACTGATGTAGACGATGAATGAAACCTAACGAATACGAAATAAGCAATACGACGGTAATTATTTCACTATTTTGAAAATTAAGGTTAGTGATCAATTTAGCACTGGCCTCGAAGTTGAGTGGCCTTCTAGGTAAATAAACCAGAGAGATAGAATGTACAAATAATCGAAGGTAACGGACTGGCATTTGCCGGTCACCTACCCGTACGGAACAGGGCAGTGGATTAGGGCCGGTGTTGAGCATTAATTGCTTTGGGGCCCATAATAGGTCGGGCCCAGTCCTGAGTCTAATCTCTCCTCTCCTCCGTCTTCCGCACCTTACGCGGACGTCTCCACAGGTTTAACCGGTTGCGTGTAAACTTCGACCTTTGTTGGGGCGTACACGTGGACTACTCTTCCCATTTCCATAGTCGGACCGTTATTTCTTTTGGGATAGGTCCACATTGCTTAATCTGTGTTAGGAAACCCCAATTATTTAGTTGGATTGCATAGTAGAAAATGATTTTATAGATTGTAAATGTATTGTGTACGTGTAAGACTTGTATCATACAGTAACGAGGCATCTCAATTAGTGGCATGTTAAGCTTAAGGCCTTCAATCCGAAACTAAAATGTTTACCGGACTGAGTTCATATCTATGAAATTATACATACTACTTATAGTATCGAACCATCAATTTTTGTATGATTTAAGTTGACATACATCGTCACATTTTATTTAGTACTAGTATTTTTGTTAAAGGTCAATTTTAGTAGTAGCCGTATTTTATTAAGTACAAAACATTTGACCAATGTATATTAGGGGTGGGAAACGGTGCGGTCCGATCCAGACCAGATCATAGATACGGTCTGTGGTCCAGACCGAGAGGTTGGAACACAGACCATGGACCAGACCATATACTTAGGGATGGCAATTTTGACCTGACCCGTTTTACCCGACCTGTTTGACCTATTTTGGGGCGGGGCGGGCATGGGTAGTCTCATCGACCCGATCTGCTCTGACCCGCCCCATTCTCGACCCGTTCTTGTCTAAATTACATGAAATCTTAGTCAAATTACTATGAATGTTACTTTAATCGCATCATATTTTAGCTATAATAAAGTTGTAAATTAGTGAAAACCTCAATTTCTCCAATAATTTAACTACAATTGTCATAATATTGTTTATTTTCTTAGTTTTATAATAAAAATAACGAATATTTCTAATGTTTTTCAAATAAATTGCATACCCATTGAGTCGACCTGCCCCGACCCGTGACCCGTGGTCAATTACCCGACCTGGACCCGACCTGCCATGGGGCGGGTCTGGGTACCAAGAAACCCGCCCCGGACCTGCCCCATTGCCATTCCTACATATACTATACGGTCCAGACCACACCTGTGCGGTGCGGTCCGGTACGGTCTGGACCAGACAGACCATGTTAAAAAAAATTAACTCTTGTTCGCCCTCCAACCCTTCGCCGGTATCTATAAAAAAAATCTAGTGACCAATATGCTAATGAAACAAAAAAAATTGTTATCGTATTAAATGAGAAGAAATATGAAGATAGAAGTGGGTTTTTTCAATTTTCAAATAGCCTTATTTTCCTATTCCTCTTTGTGCTACCGCTTCTCTCCTCTCTCGAGTGATCCGAAGGTTCTCCCAGTTGATAACCTTTTTGATGACGTCGAGGTAATTTCGAACCACTAAGATGGTCGCATATCTCTCAATAATTTTCCTTATCTCATCAAGGTGAACGAATTTTTTTGTAGTGTTTAATTTTTATCGACTCCATAGTCTAGAGATTATCTGTGAATATTATTTATGAGTCTTTCTGATTTTTTTGTGGTACTTTGATAAGGAGATAACATATAAGCGATCATTTTGCAATTTGTTGGCTCTCAACTAGATGAAGAATCAACTAACTTTGTTCTTCAAATACACATATGGAGGTTCAATTTAATGTTATTTTTGTCCAAGGTAGTAGGTAGGGTGTCGCGGTCTGTTACGGTTTACTGCGGTAGACCGCGGTCCAGACCACTTCAGACCACACACTAAATGAGAAGACCGCAAACCAGACCAGACCATAGTTCTGGTCTCACGGTCCAGACCAAACCATACAATACGGTATAGACCGCGATTTCCCATACTGTTTGGTCTGGATTCCCAGCCCTAATGTATATGGCTGTTTTGGTTGGATCAACAAAAACACCAACAAAATATATTATTAAAACACCTTCTACTCTTGGAAATACATTTTACGCGTAATTTTCAAAAATTTTGGGGGTCCGGCCCCAGGGCAGCTGTAGCTCCACCCCTGTTAACCTGCCAACTTCAAGTCATAACTTAACTTTCACATAACAATATGTTATTTTATAATTAGGATTAGTGAAGTCAAAATCGCGCATTAAAACGTAAAAACTTACGTTTTTACGTATTCAGGCCACCAAAAGGTTTCAGTTTCTACATAAAGTCGCTTAGTCACAAAAACTAGTAAAAACATGGATAAAATCGGTAAAATCGCTTAAAATCGGTAAAATCGCGATTCTGAAGCATTTTTATACGATTTTGATCATCTCATAAAAATGTGCTAATTGGCCCAAAATGATGTAATTTTGGAGACATATCAGCAAAAAATAAAAAAAGGAAAACATGATTTATCACTCGTTCTACAACTAGTGTCGAGATAGAGGCTTCACATTAGGTTGAAAAGACACCTAATGGTATTCTCAATAACCGCTGACCTTCTATCAGTCTTCTCCCTTAATCTTCACTTATGGCTCTTACCTGGGTTACGATAAAATTTTATGGGTAATTGATCTTATGTAATTATGTAAACTCAAACAGCTTATGAGAATTTGGATTCTCAAGCTCGTTTACGAGTTACGATGTACGTTTATGAGCTTATTATTAAGATGTTATGAGTTTTCTCTACTTTTGAGTCAACACAAATTAGTTTATGTGTTAGATAATACATTTTAATTATGAATTTCATGTAGTTATTCACTTATCTAAAATCTACACACTCACATTTTACATATTATATGTTGTACTTAACATATTCTGGCTATTTTAGAGGGTGCGTCAAAAACTGACGCTTTTACAATTTGATTCTACGTTTTACGATTTTACCCATTTCCCGCTTTCAGGTAAAATCACGCTTTTTAACTGCATTTATTTAGGATCCCATATAACCCATGTTAGCAACTCAAAATTTTATTTTGGCCTAAGTTCTGACACTTACGATAATCAATCTATCCACTTAATCATTTCCGATTACATTAAACTCATATACAACAACAAGCATGCAGCCCCTTACTTTCCAATTTTCTCAGTTTCTGTCATTAACCATATCTTATTTCACTACCTTAATTTGTTTGGCTTCTTCTGGTGAGCATGGGATGATCATCGCCGACCGATCGGCCCCCCTTTTTTATCTTCCTTTTGTGTTCACTTCGCCGGGCGCGCGGCTCACTAATTCTCCCTTTTCAGCAGCGAATAATCTTTTTGTGTTCTACGTGATTACGACGGCAACTAGTTATTTTTTATAAAAAAAATACCACATGTCACCCTGAAATAACCTATCTAACCTCGTAGATCGCGGGGAAAGCTCGCCCCGCCGGTGGCATTCTCGTCCGGGAAAACTCTCCACCGGACGAAAAAGACAAAGTGGAAAAGAACAAAAAGGGAAAGTTGGAAATTAATTACGATCTGCATGCTTTAGATCGGGAAAGCGTCACTAAATATCATAAAAAAAGAGGTAACAAAGAGATGCTCGAGTTTTATTAAAAGCAGCGAGAAAAAAAAAACAACCGCGTTGCGAGCGTGCAAGCTTCTCGCACGTGTAATTGACCAGCGACAAAAAGGGGGAAATATGCGATGCGGGCATGCTGACACGATCTCCACGTCACCTGCTCTTCCACGACCGTCAACGTCGCCAACCGTACGTCGGCGGCCATTTACCACCCAGCCGGCGTTTCACTCATTCCACCAGCTACCTTGTTAGCGACACATTATTGTATTATTAATACACTAATTACTTGGTTAAAGCAATATATATTAGCTGTCGATTTCCTTTCCACGTTGATTTACGTATCCATCTGCCCATCTGTATGTTAACTATTAGTCGGTGCAGCTATGATCAAGTTTGTATTAATGATGTAAAGCATATACACATTTATATGTAGATATCGTCAAAAGCCCATTAAGGACATTAGCAGCATACAACAGAACAAGACAGTGACAATCTAAATACCAAATTGGTAATACAAGTGAAGAAATTTTTGTATATTAGAGTCCACCTAGCCCAATCAGTACGACAAGGGTGGAAATCGGTACGGTATCGGTATCCCAATACCAAATACCGAAATCCCGAATACCGAATTACACCCTAAAATCAATCACAATCCCAATCCCTAAATAATTTCGGTATCCCAATCCCTAAATATTTTGGTATCCAAATCGGTATTATCAAATACAAAAATAATTACCTTTGTAATTAATAATTAAAT